TTTGAAATTCTTTTCTGTCATAGTTAACAAACATTTAAAAATATATGTGATATCTTTTGTACTACCTAACAATACTCTAAAGTCTAAACATCTAATAGTATACGAACATGCGATCAATGGTTTATATCTATAACGGTATGCCTAGAATGGCCACTAGGGGCGCCCCTAGCTATTATGTAAATTAACAATAAATTATTTTAATTTGTAATAGGAATTTATTTTTGATATAAATTTATTTATTATTTATATCAAGGAATGACACCGCTACTGTTAGAACGCCCATCTCGCGGGGGGGGGGTAAACCTAGCTCCCTCCCCACGAGGAAGGAAATAAATTCGCCGAGGGAAAATTCTCCCACGGGAAGGTGAAAAACTTTCCCATTGATATGAATTTATTATTTATACCACGGAATGACACCGCTGCAGCAAGAACGCCTACTATGGGGCGGCCCGGGCTACTACTAAGACAGATTCCGGTTCTGCCCTGCAGGCCCCTTTTGTAGCTGGGCCGCTCTCCGGGCTTTGAGCCGCCCTCTAGATCCCCATTGGAATTTTCGCTTTATCGGCGGCCCCGGGGCCCACTGTCCAGTTGGAAGAACCCCTTCGACCCACAAAAAACCACCAAAAATAGANTAGTCAATCTTACTCGTTTTCACTGAGTGCAAGAATTAGGTCCCCCTATTCTGAGGCTAATTAGAGAATTATTAGATGGGTCTAAAAACATGTTTGATTTCTCAAAATAAAATATATTTAAAATATTACAAAACGAAGGCTAAATACGAATAAAAATTTGATGTCTTCACACGCCCTTACCTACTACAGGAATACAATTTAACATGAGCAGAATCGACCTTTCCTTTGAGGATACTCTTTGCTTACGAATATGTAAAATTGATTAATCGATTATTCGAACCGTATTTAGTACAATCGTTTCACTCGTACGATACTACTTTTCATAAACTTTATAATTTTTTTATATTTGCTTTGAGTNTTCTTGTCCCTAGCACGCGCGTCGTTTTATTTTTTGTTACACACACACACACACTTCTTGCTCTTCGCAACCAATTTTTCTGGTCCACAACAATGTAATCCCTTTCCAACCCCCTAATTTAATTTTCAATAACGCAAACGACAGTGTATTTCGTAACAAAGATAAGAATTAATTAAAAATCTACTAATGTGAGGTAGATAATAAGGACTTATCACCAAAGTTCTCTCTAAGCTGCGCTGCCGCGCACTGCTCAAATTGGTGTGCGCACTGATATGAACTGGTTATTATTAGATAAAAATGAACACTACAAACACCTAAGATGCCAGCGAGAAAATTAAACACGAAGTTCGAATGTGTTCGCCCGCGTTAAACGGATATCATCAGGCAAGCAAACTGCTGAGAAAAACACCGGGGGTTGCCGAACGCGTGTTTAGGTATAGGGGTGTTGACGTAATGAGAGGTATTATGTATTTTTAGTTGTCTCGAGTAAACTGAAAAACAGTTGATTTTTAATTTTGTCTTGAGAAACAGTTCCAGGTTTTTCTACTTTTAAATTTTCCATTTTTGAGTCTNGCAGAAATTCTTTAAATGAGCGTGTAATTAACAAAAAACAAAGAATTTAAATTAGGAAATAGAGCCTCCGGCTTAAGTTGCTACACAAAGCGCGAACGCCCGAAATGTCTTTCCCCATAGACCCAACATTGTACATTTGCCGCTCCATCACGCCCGAACGGTTGTGAATTTTCTATTTATGATAGCAGTGGACTCACCTACAATGCAAGAGCTTTATTTTGATATCCGAACCAGATTCCTACTCTAAGGCATTGACACCAGACATTTTGTCAGCATGCAAATATAATAAGAGCAAAGAAGAAAGCAACGCAAGTGACATCAGTGTTCACGAATACAGGAAATTTTCTATAAATAAAAAAGTATGGATCGAAGACTTAGTTTGAAAAGTAATTTCTAAACATTAATCGAAAATACTCGAGATAACGACGAAATGTAACTTCGGAAGGTATTAGAGAGGTTGCGGCCGACATTTTCAACGCGAAAACTTGTACTTCGGACGTTTAGCACCGCCTTCCTGTAAGCCTAGAAGTTTGACAGTGGCGTTTGGAACATCGATCATGGCCGCAACCTCTCTATTCTAAAACGATTTATGGAAGAAACGATGCACTTTTAAGAAATTCGTAGGAGGAAAACTTACCAGACNTTTTTATAAAACATTATAAAACAGATGATTGCAAATTTTATTCATTTTACTAACAAATTAAGTAAATACGTCGTAGAGAATAGATTAAATAGATGCTCCTAACACTAGATTAACACTAGAGTCTTTTTCACATAGAACAACAGTCTGCTTCAAATTGAAACCAAATAAAAATTATCTGTATACTTAATAATACCTGGCATGTTATTAAGTTTCTTACATAACGTTTAAACCACTTATTATAAAACCCGTATTCGAAAAGTAAAGATGCAATGCTCATAAAAATCCAAGGGAAAATTATTTTTTAGTTTGCTCCACACCATGTCTGTTCAGGTCAGATGACTTTAATTCCATCATAGTATGCTTGTAGTTTTTGGTTAACAAAATCGTGTCAATTTTAAATCCTGCCAATTGCGATGGTTTGTTCGGTGATTCGTTCATCGACGACTTGTATCTGTTTATGATATAAACGTTCTGAACAGTTAGAACATCACCAAATGAAATCCTACTGCTAGATTAAGCCAGTCCGCACAATGCTTACACTACACAAGGTTTCTTGCAAACATTTAAGTGAGAAGTTTTTGAATATCCATAATACGTCCAAGCAGTAGCTTAGCGTAGGGGGACGGTAGCGGCGGTCCGTCCCGGGCGGCAATATTACGTTTTAGGGGGCGGCAAATTTTCACAATAAATAATAATAATATCTTATAAGAATTTGAACTATTTTATTTCATATTTTCGTCCACCTACGATTCGGACCGATTGAAATGAGCACGAAATAGTGTTACCATCCGACTCGCCGTCCGGGGATATCGTGCGCAACCTATCGACCTTTTGTTTTTTGTTTTTTTTTTTGCTTGCTTCATTCGTAATCATATACACCTCAATAGAGCTAGGTCACCTGCGTTACTCTTATCCAAGTCTCGCTAGCGTCACCTGGATTTTCAGACAAATATAATATTAACAAGAATCTAAGCGTAGAAATTCATAAAAACTGGTTACAACTATTAAAATAGAAAGTATATACAGTCGCGGGTGCGGCATTCTGGGAGTGAGACGTTGCACGTTGCGAGGCATGCGGGGGAGGCCGTCAAGTCGGCAGGGAAGGAAAGGGGAGAGGGAAGACGTAGTGCGGAAGGTGCCTGATAGATATCCACAAGGTACAACCTACCTATGTAACAGACTGATGAGGGGCGAAAGTCCGAAACGCGTATCTATATGGATTAAAAGTTAATGAAATTATTTGCCAAGTGTCAATAAATTCACCAAGTCGTGACATTGAACCAAAGTTCAAAGAAATTCAAAGAAAAAACAGTTCGGCCAGGTCCGCAATGGGGCGGCAGAGTACAAAGGGAAAGGACCGGACATATCCGGATTGACCACTCCTGAACAACTCCTGAAAATTTTTCGACTCGTCCAGATTTTATTCAGGGTTTTCCAGAGCGGTAGGCTACCATTTACAATTGATTGAAATGGTAAAGGCTATGCAAAAAATGGGCAATTTCTCACAATGCTGCCTCCAGGAAAGAGCTTTCATTTTGGAAAGTTTTTCTAGCTTATATTTAGGTGTTAAATACAAATAAAATCGAATTTAGTTATGAGTAAATTAATGAACTAAGTTTTGCCAACTTGGCAAAACTTAGTTAATCAATTTCTTTCTTTCTTGTCTTTCTTGACCTTCGAAAATAGAAAATCCTTCTTGTTATATTTACATGTTAGAGGCATAAAGATAATCCGATAAACTCTATGTAACCATTTTGTCAAGCAAAAACTCACCAAATACACAACGACCGTATAAAAACGCTGGAATACAAAGAACCTTCCAGATTTTATACACGTGGCTTAAATATAGGCTTTCTACAGAGTATAAGCTTTTGCAGAAAAGTTAACAACATTTCTTTATTATATGTAGGTATCTATTTATAAAGGGAATTAAAAATTTTCGAGAGTTTATATGTTTTCTTTTTAAAATCATACTGAAATTTTCGCAAGTATTTTTTTTCTGAAAATATTAAGTTGAATCCATCAAATTAAAAATTAAACTTTTGAAGACAACAGAAATATTTATTCATTAGTAATTTTCTTAATTAGCTTCTAAAACAAAAAAGTTATACAACAGAATGGCAGAAAGCAATATATTCATTAAAACAACACTACTTGCTATGTTATATAAGACACATTTAGAGTAGGATGCAATTAAGATAATTAAAATTCTTTATCGGAGTATATATTAGAATTTAGAACAAATGTCATTCTGACATAGTGGACTGTATTATTATAATAAAATAGCTAACATATTAAACAAGTATGTATATTCATACATAATTAATTAAGGATAATTAGTTTTCGATATTCATTACATGAAATATGCCATTAATAAATGCACTTATAAAATACGTACTTAAATGGAATATATGCGTGTTACTAAAATTGACTTTGATTGGAGTAGAACGTTGACATAGGCAACGCAACAACTCGTGGAAATCTGCCAACAGAGAAATATCTCCCTGGTGGTGACAATGGAGGGAACCTGTTTCCCTGTTTAGGTGTTAGATAAGTGAAAAAACCCGGTAATCTTCACGTGGTGAGATTTAGCTCAGGCTCGAACCCGCGAGCAATATTTAGGATACAATGACTTCGTCAGAAACCGGCGCTCAAAGGTTTGACTCTGAATTTGGAAATATTGATTCTATTATTGCCCGCAGGGCTGAAAGAGTAAACAAAGAAAAATAATAATATATTTATAATTTAAAATTATGGAAAACTCAAGTAATGAAATTAAAATAATTCTTTATTCTTTAAATGCTGCATTACAAATTCTCGGGTTAAATATATTAAAATGTGACTATCGTAAGAATTCATGGAGTATTCGATTTTTTGAATTTTATTCAAATTTACTCGAATTTTTTTTTTATCCTGAATACTCTGGCATTAGTCTCCACGACATTTTCCGATAAATTCGTATGCGGAAACTTGTTTAACTTATTCGTAGGTTTCAAATACATCATGCAGTTATTTGTTATTGGTACGATCGTATCCTTGACTTTTCAGTTCTCTTTACTTAAACGAACTCGTTTAAATCTTCCTAGTAGTAAATCTTGCTATGAAGTGGAGAAAACATTAATTACATCCATAGAATTTCAATTTGCAGTTTTCTTCGCAGTCACTGCTATATTACTAGTCATAGGTTACTTCATTCTTGACTTTTCTCTATATTTTGCCATGGAAAAGGCAACTTCAATGGAATTTCTTCTTTGCAATATCGATTGGGCATTATTGTTATGTTTTTTAGGAGGACAAACTGTTTCCATAATATTCCTTCTTTATTATTATTTTCTCGTTTTATTTATCGGATTTAACGCATTGTCGAGCAAACTCGATGTTGTTCCTCGTGGAAGGAGCATGATCAAAGATCTAATCGTATACGTAATCGAAGAACATACAGAATTAATGGAAAACATTCGAAACGTCAATAATAAACTCGAAATGTATTTTCCTGCTATTTACTGCATTAATTTATATGGGTTCAGTATCCTGATAACAATTTCTTTGTTTTACGATCTACCGTCAGAGTTTAAACTGGTTGCATTTGTTATTATCATATACGCATTTTTCGAATTTATGATAATTTCATTCGGTTTATCCAGATTTACATCCTCGGTAAGTTTTATTAATGAAATATTTGTACAACCAAATTGATATATAATTTATAATGTTTAACATTCATTTCAGATTTATGGAAATTTCAACGAGATTAATAAATTTTCCTCATGCAGATTCTCCCTTGTTTTTAAATTGAAGGTAAATTGAATGTTCTACAGTACAGTACTAAGTTATCAATAAATTTTATTCTGAAATTATGTTCTTTTTCAAACAGATGCTGAATTTTATGAAGAGATTCGGGAAAACACCCTTTGGAATTTCTTTCGGTGGATTTTTTCGAGTCAAACGCAATTTCCCGATTAAAGTAAGTTTCGATTAAATTATGCATTTTAATTTATTATTGTGAATTTTGTCTTCATCCCTATTTTCCCTTTTAGATGCTGAGTAGTCTTTACTCTATTCTTTCTGCACTCATCGAATTGGCAAAGAAGAATAAAAGTACGAAATGTACTTCATTACGTTCCCTGAATGCAAGTAATATTCAGAACACATCACTGTATTGAGAACGTTTCAACGTAAATACATAAAATCAACGAAGTTTCGTTGAATTGAGGAATAGATCTGCAGCTTATCGAGATAATGCTGATTTTTCTATAACTACATACGGGAATGAATATAAAACATTTATAATATTGAGTAATTAGAAGCACTTCTTATATGTACGAACACAAAAAGTAATGTACACTTGATGAGTAGTGTAGAAAATAAAGTTTAAAACTATCGTATTCTTTTAATTTTTAGTCATTAAATTGTTAAACATAACCTAACGAAATATTAAAACACTCACCATACCACGGTGCTAATATTTTCTGTACACAGAAAGAACAGATCAGAATAGTCACGACACTTGTTCCCTGCAACCTTCTGTTGGAAACCTTCTGTTAAATTGATAATTAAATAAGCTGGGTGTGTAAGAAGTCACTTTCCAATATTTACTTCTTTCATTTAGTCGGCTATTTGTGAAACCTCTAATAATACAATAATTAATGCACCCCCTTCGTTAGAAATTATATATTTTTTAATATCAAATGACGTTTCTGGAATGGATGGGTTAATATGCCTTTTTTTTTTTTAAATTCTGTTTAGCATTTATAGATAGCATTTACAATTTTGAAACTTCAGAAAACAAATTATTCAAGGAATTTTATTTTAAACGCAAAAACATATTTGTTAGTACTTTGTATATTTATAATAAACCCGGCGTTTAATTTAATTTTCAATATTTATTGCTGAAAATTTTTAAATATTATAATCCATATAAATACAAATTAAATATTAACTTGTTAACGTGCTCAGTAAATACGGCATTTACTTTCATTCAAATGTTTATCGATTAAAAGTTTCGAAGTAATTTAGGGGACAGAAAGGTGAGTAAAATTGCTTAACTTTCTTAAAGTGTAGCATGTATATTTTTGATTAATATATGCTAAAAATTAAGAAAAAAAACTCAATATTATGCATTTTTGAATGTTAAATATAAGTATTTAAATTTATGTAATTAANGAGTAAAATTGCTTAACTTTCTTAAAGTGTAGCATGTATATTTTTGATTAATATATGCTAAAAATTAAGGAAAAAACTCAATATTATGCATTTTTGAATGTTAAATATATATATAAGTACAGTAGAGCGTCGTTTATCTGAATCAATTGGGGACTGGAATTGTTTCGATAACTTATTTTTCGGATAACCGATTATGTACGAAAAAATATATTAACCTATCCCGTGTTGAAATTTTTCTCCGTTGCGTGTCGCTTCGCCTTGAATTTTCGTCGATGTTAAGCCTAACGTAAACTTTTTAAAATAATAATCGTGGCTATTGTATCGTTAAAAATTATTTCTTTATTTTTTTACAAACAAAATAAATATATTGAAAAATATAAAAACAAAAAAAA